GCCTTCATTTCGCATTAAAACGCCACCGCTCTCCGACAGTCGCCTCGGAGACCGCCGTTCTCGTGGTGTCCTGCAGGACCGTTTGCGCCCGATGGAGCCATCCGCCGCCTCCTGCCCAAGATAATGCGTCGGCCACGACGTCCGCCGTAGAAAGAAGCTGAATGCGACTTAATAAGTCGCACTCCGAAAGTCGCGACGGTTCACACATCCCGATAATATCACAATACTTAGACAGAAAAAATGATTTGCTAATACATAGACAAAAATATTAACTGCAGAAGCAAATTTTCTTGTTTTCATAGTAAAAGTTATTTAGTTTGCTTCTGCAGTTAATATTTTTAGTTGTCCATACATTAGCAAATCTTTTTTTCCGTGTACGAAAATTATCCACATACAAAAAATACATGCTGCATTTACATAAACGCTAATTGCTTCAAATATTTCATAAGTTTATATAATTCTTAAATCTATCATAAGTTCATTATAAGCATCAAATTTATTTAAAATTGTAAGACGTAATAATAAATATAATATTCTGGCCAAAACTGCGCGAGGTAACAATAAATGAGTCAGATATCTATAAACAACAGCACTTCGGAGTAGCAATAAATAATTAATACTTTGAAGCGTTTATGAATAAAGTTGAAAAAAATTATAATGGAAAAACAAAACATGTTTTTAACAACAGTAACGTTTGAAAAGGATAAATAAAAAGTCTGAATAAATTTTATCCATGTTTAGCGTTCTAGAAAGTTAATATGAGGAAAAAAAGATAATATTTAAAATTATTTAATTTTGTACTCTCTTTATTTATTTACTCATTTTGTAAATTTCGATAGAATTGGATATTTAAAAGAGATAGGAAAGAAAGAATTATAAAATTAGTAACAGTCAGAGTAGAATAGAGAGGATAGAATAGAATAGGATAGTAATAAAGTAACAAATATAATTATGTAAATATTAATAAGCATTTAGATTTAAATTTGATACAATAACAATAATAAAAGGAAATGAAAAACAAAGTTAGCAGATTCAAAGTGAAATTTGTCTCCAAAAGAAGCATTAATAGAGAAACAAACATAAGCACTAGTAAGATATAGACCGAGATTTGTAGTTGTACATTATTTACGCTCTTAATGGTGTATATAATTAATCAGAGATTTATATTCATAAACTACTGTTCGACAATTTAAATCAATACTTGTTGCATGAGTATCACAAATTAACAAATTAAATATTCATAGAGTTATATATGATTAGAAGATTATATGATAATATGATATATGATAATTAGATTATATGATAAGAATAATTCTAAAATATGGGTCATTCTTTAAGTCTTCACATATAAACAGAATTGTAGTAAGTAACCATTTCTAGCATCAAAAGACAATAGTCTGTACAGTATTGCATCTCATCAACATAAGAATATTTGGATGAAATATGTTATTACTATTATTTTAGACAAGAAAAGTGACTCACCAATTTATGGTGAGGGGAAAATGCGTTATTTCGGGTCATTCGGCTCGACACGTTACTATTCAGCTTACGTGTATTTATTTTGTTCGTGTACATTTTACAACACATTGACAACTTACAATAAATTTACAATAAAGCTAATCCTTTCAAAGGCTACTTTGGTTCATTACAAACGTCACAGTTTCAGCACAAGCTGGTATAAAGCTGAATATATCCGAAGAAGTCGCGGTGGAAATCCTCGAAGTATTGTAACTTTCCCTTTACTAATTAAACCTTCCTCTGATACCATGTTTTGTCTATATATTCGTATATCAATATATTGCAATGTATTGCATCGAGATTCTCCATTGGTACTTCAAGTTTCACAAAATCTTCAGAGTTAGGTCGGAAGCATACACACGAAAAAAAAGATTTGCTAATATATGGACAGCTAAAATTATTATACTAATATATATATTAGCAAATAGCTTTTAGCTATCACAACTAAATAACTTTGCTATGAAAGCAAGAAAATTTGCTCCTGCAGTTAATATTTTTAGTTATCCATATATTAGCAAATCTTTTTTTCCGTGCAGAAAACGTAAGCAATAAAACATAAGTAATAAGAAAATCGATTAAGCACAACTGATTATTCTCTTTACAGTCTAAGAATAATTGATTGTGATATTTGCACTTTTTTATGTGCCACGATCTTTAACGCAGAACCAACATTTGGCTCGGGAAGTCTAATAGAAATTACGATGCCTTTGAATGTCTTTCATTTTATCTTGCTAGCATGCGAGGTGAAATAAAGTTTTTCGCAAATTATATTCTCATTCACTGTCACGTGCGTATGCTCGCGCATACTTCGCTCTAATGATTGCGGGGAAGATTCTGGAAGACATCGCGTCGTTCAGACGTTCTTTTTCCGAAGTCGTGCTTGCAATCGTGTGCTACGCGACGACGGGAGGGGCCCTAATCAAGCTGCAGCGTACGGCGCACATCTCCGATGTTTATGCCGTCGCGCCGCTTTTTCCCATTTTTTGTCGTATAACGCTCTCACCGTGTTATTCTGCGGCGCCGCTAATACCGGATCCCGTCACCCTTTCATGCCGAACGCGCGCGTGATTTACGAGCGAAGGATGGATCGACCGCTGCTGCGGCCAGCCGCGCGTCTATTCATGCCTAATGCGCGTCTGATATGGCCATAACGACAGAAATGTATTCATCTTGTCCGTTTTACGACGCGATCATTGCCCGACAAATTAATAAAGAGAATGTTCGAGCGAACGATCAATTTTATGCAAACTTGAAAGCTCGCCGCACGTTTCAGTCGGTCATTTTGGCCGACGGCTTAATGATAGTCACAACACTTTTGAATGTATAACGGATGCAAGATAAGTATTAAAATATGTGTATGAACTTATTCGATTAATCTTATTTATAATTAAATATAGTGTCAATTACCATTATTTTATATTAAAAAAAATATAATCTCTTCCTTAGCTAAATCCTTTTATATATAAGCTTAATAATTTATCCGAATTTGCTCTTTCTATATCAGGCCACATATATATGACGTTAGATTCTTTTAAAACCAAAAGGAAAATATTCTAACATTCAAAAAAAAGAAACATTAAACTATAATTAAACTATAATTCCATATTCTAAGCGAAAAGCGACTTTTACCGAAAGGATATTTCTAATGAAGAGGAATAATATTGTACTTAGAATCTTTTTCTTTTGGTTTTAAAAGAATCTAACGTCATATATAAGTGGCCTGATATAGAAAGAGCAAATTCGGATAAATTTTTATTATTATATAGAGAAAACAATTTTGTTAGTGTAATTGCATCTTCCATTGCCTGGATAAGAATAGAGATCAGCTGAAAAACTCGGGTACAAATAGAAAGATTCCTATAGGAGGTTTCCACTTAGACAATCGCTTTCAGTTGTATCAATCGAATTTTGATACAGCTGAATATTCAATAGTTGTTTACAGTTGTGATAACAGAGATATTATTTTGCGTCAGAATTTTTATTTCATCTCTACTCATTGCTTAGATACTGCTCTACTCATTAAACTAAATTTTTTTTGTGTATGTTTGAGAAACTTCTTTTTACTAGATTAAGTCTATAGAGCAATCTGTCGATTAGCCTTTGTCTGATTTTAAAGTAAATGCCTCAAATGTCTTTGTGCGTCCATTATTTTGATTACTCCTTTGTTTCTGGAGTAAATTAATAGACGCAGGTTTCATTGACGATCGCAAATTGTTGCTAAAAGTTGCTTCAAATTGTGACGAAATCATGCTAAAAGATGCGAAAAGCAATGAAGTGTTCAGTCTTTGCTGGTGTGACCAAACGCAGGATTTATCGCTCGCAAAATTTATTTTAGCGCACTGTCAAGCAAAAACTAATCGACAGATAGCTTTATATTGTCATACCTTAATAAAGGAAGATTCTGAAATACGGTAATAAAGATTTGGCTAAATTTGTTCTACTTCTATATTAGGCCATATATTTTTCGAGCGACTCTCGAAAAAATCCGGATTTTGCTGAAGATTGTATTTGTTTGGATATATAAAATTTAAAAGAGAGTATGAGAGAAAATCGAGAACCATATCGAAGAATCAATGGAAATATATAAGAAGCATTGGAAATACTGAATAGAATACGAAGAGAAAAGAGTTCGATTGAATTAATTTGACAATGAACGAGACGTATTTTGTTTAAAAGCAACTGAATTTCTGGTTCTTAGAACTGAATTTGGTTCATAAAAAGCCTATTTTTTTAACGAACACGCGTTTGGCTTGTTTATTGTCAGGTTAATTTAACGAAACTTTTTTCCCCGTGAACTTTCTCGAAATTGCTTGTCTTGCTCGAACTTTTTTCGGATTTGTTTTAAAAAACTTGCAATTTACGTTTATCGCCGTCGCGTTGCGATGCACTCGCAGCGCGCTAATAAAAACGACGGAAAGGATGTGCATTCGCGAAAGCGATTTCGTGACGACGCGTCGGCGGACGGTCAGTCTGCTTCGTCAGCTCGCTTGCTTTCCCAAGCAGATGGTGACTCCTTCATCCCCTAATCGCACGGTCGGCTAGAGGATCGCGTGATGATGCCTTTAAACGAGGCATCCTGTAGCTGGTTAACCGTACAGAACCGCCAACATTTGCCTAAGCGTGTACACGCCAGGCCTGGACAGAGAGAGAATCGTTCTAATCAGAATAATGGTCTCTTACTACTATTACGGTTAGGACTTACCCCATGCCAAAGATGAGGAAGGAAGAGCAGACCTCATGCACGTTCCACGTGTTTGTAGAATAAACTGCTGTGCGACGAAAATGTTCTAATTGCCTTGTTAGTTTTAATACGCGGCTCATGTGATGGCGACAATTATTGCAGGGCAACTGTTGAATATATTTATTGTTGCGTTTTTCGCAACGATAAAATTAGAGTGTTATTGATATATTGTTATAATTGTGTGTGTGTGTGTGTGTGCGCGCGTGTATAATTAAATTTGTTGTAACTCAGCGAAATGAATATTTTGAGGATAAAAGGAAAAGAAATTCGACGAGAGAAAATATCCGGTACAGTACATTCGGTACAAGAGTTTATTAGGGTTTATTTACAAGGGAGCAGCTTGCACAGCAATAGGTGTATGCGTCTTCACAACACAAGCATTAACAATATAACGCTCTACACTAAAGCTAGTCGCCGCGGCGATAATAATCCTTTAGGCGCTCGCGAAGAACGCGCTCGTATTACTCACGCTTTTCTCTGATTCTTCAGAATCCGTAAATGGACGTTCGTCAGTCGCTTTTCTCTCGAGAATTCCCGAGGACCGTCGAGGATCCTCATCTCAGGAGATTGATTTCTTATTTTCTAGGATACTCCGATTTTTGGAACTCACCAATCTTTGGATCGTTCAATTATTAATTATCTCGAGATCTTCGGATCTTTTGCGGTCTCAACTTTTCTTCTTCTTTTTCTTCCATTTCCGTGGTTCGGAAGTGATTAAGAATTTCGGAGGAAGTTGAAGTTTACGAGTCTTTGCGGTAGACTTGCGGTAGGAACGTCCAAGTCCCGGATAGTGCGCTTTTCATTTTTGAACGCGTTCATTTCACGTTGTCCTCACTTCAGCAAATACGGAATCGAAACATAAATAATGATAACAATAGGCTCGTGATACGAAATATACAACTTATGTTACAAGAGATAGTGGCGTAGTTACCTTTTACGCGCGTCGCGACTGGGTATATGTATATCTATATACAAGTAGTTGTCGTACAACTTAGTTGCCCTTAAGGATGCATATACGTGTATTATGTCCGGCAATTATGCCGCCTCGAGAGAACCAGAATGGTTACATATTTACAACGTTCGTATTCTTCTTCGCGCGCGCGCTCGCTTACTTTATATAAGAAAAAGCGATGTGGTCGAAACGATGTCCGCGTTCAACAGAAGTGAGTGCTTAGTAAATACTTCATAGTTATTGTTTGTGGTTGGAGTATACTTTTAGATCATTGATATATCCTAAAGATTGTATCAATCAGGAGCAATAATCACTAAACGCTCATTTCTGCTGAACGCATGCAATGGTGTTCGCGGATGCTCAGTCTCGCGGATGCCTTACTATTCACCAGATTGATAATCATTGAACATTTTCGACTAGCCTCATTTGTTTCTAGCTACGTGTTTTTTCACAACTGTTGATTAATTCAATAAGCAGGAGCTTGCTCAAAGAAAATGTGACATTTCGACAGTTTGACGTATGCGTCAGTAAAAAGTGTTATTCGCTTATATGTAATGCGTAATTAGAAGTTATCAATTAATTATTTGCATTCATTTTATATATGTTAACCTCGTACTTATCTTTCTTAACATACCTGCTCTTCTTTTGCTGACTGCGTGTTATATATGAGCGGATAATCTTCTTTACATGCAAAACATTAAACTATCAAACGTTACTTTTTTTTCTTTGAACATGTTCCCGCTGCTTTTGATTCATCAAGAATCATGAGAAGTGCATAGCTGAAAATCAATACGGCTGAAAAAAGGCTATCGATTCAATGTATAATAAAGCATCTGAGGGACTGAGTATGTGTGTTCTTTCCGTATAAAAATACACATCTGCGAAGAAATTATTTTGATAATATAAAACAAAAGATCATTGAGTGACACAAGATTTCTTAACGAATGTAATTTTAAATTGAAATTATATTTAACATTAAATACATCTTTGTATATCGCTAATAACTATTTGCGAAATATCCATTTTTTGCCAAGTCTTTAGGTATATGTATAGAAAAAAGCAAATAGAAAAATTGTAACGCGATGCGAGCAGTTCACTCAATTAATAAAACGACTAGTCGAATAATTTATCTTGGATTGAACGTAAACGTGCCTCTCCACAGTTTCCAAGGATCTCCGCGAAATAAATTTGTATGCGTGTGTGCGCGCGCACGCGTGTGTGTGTGTGTGTGTGTATATGTGTGTGTGACGCCGCAGGATATGTATTTCGCGTAAAAATTCCCAAACAAAAAGGGAACTTATATAATGCAATATCTCACAATAACTTTTCTCGGCGTTTTCTGCGAGTGTAACGGATCCTTCTTTCTCTTTTTTTTTTTGCTTTTTTCGTGCAACAACATTTTTTCCTAACGAATTCGCAACAATGCATTCGTAGGTGCATCCCGACTACCATAATGGCGGCGCGGTCCTATCACTTCCGATCGTCGATCGAGGTGTAGATATATATACCACAGAGAGGTCCGGGGCCTTTCTCGGTCCCAGAGAGTCCGGCCGCGAGACAATAGAATTGTCGACTCACGTGAGAGGGCTCGAGTCCTCTGTACTTGCCACCATATTCGCCAAAGGTCAAGAGTTCAGTCGCGAGAGGCGATCAACATTCAGAGACTCGCGGAGATAGTCTTACGTTTCTTTTCTCTCCCGTTCGTTTGCGCTTCTCTTCTTGCTGTAGCGTGAGAAGGACAGAATGCAACGCCGGTGATGCCAGCTCGACCGCACGAACGTCGAGAACCTTTGACACCACAATTATCGTCGCTATTCACGCCGGGTTCCGCGGATTTCGGTCGATATCGCCGAGTTCCGCAAGCGACATCCTCCCGATGCCCTTTCCTCTCCTTTCGAACGTCTTGCGGCGCGTGACGCGCCACGCGAGAGGGTTCGCCAGGTGAATTCTCTCGCACATTCGCCTACATTCGCGTTCAAAGCATGCGAAAAGAATCGATCTCCGTCACGCGAACATTTCATATAACGTTTTATATCACATTATATATAAATGGAAATATTTTCTTGCACAGTCATCCTCTATTTTAACGAAATGGAGACTGATTCTTTCGGAATTTCAAGCCACCATTCGACAAACATTGCACGTTTAATTAAAAATGATAAAAGAATAAAATAAGAAGAGGAAAAGAGAAAGTCTTACGATTTCCAAGGGCATATTTCAGAAACCGCAGTTATAAGGAAAAAAGAAATGTTTTAAACTGTACAAATGACACGATAAACAACATCGATCTTCGTTGCGCTTAAACTCTTCTTGTCTTCATGAAAAAGGAGTGTCGCACGATGGTGAACGCGATTCTCTCGCGTAACACCTTTGAGGAGATATTGAATACTGATATAAATTGATTCTTGGATGTTGTATTGTTTTTCTATTTGGTTGTATAGAATTGTTTATATAGAGTCAGAAAGTACAAGTGTCATTGAATAAAAAAATATCTCAAAAATTTTGTGAATAAAAACAATTTGTTTTAATGTTTCTTATATAACAGGAGGTACCGCGTCATTCATTGACATTTATATTTCACAGAAAAAAAGTTGGACTAAATTAATCTGAAATATTGATAAGACTATTTGATGAATTTTGAAGGATCCATAATTTTAGTAAATTTAACTAGTCAAATTTGGTTTATTTATAATCAGACAAATTTAGTTACATGTGCAATAGTAGTAAAATTATATTAAATATTAAATCTAATAATAAATATTAAATCTAATAAAAAATATTATATCTAATAATAAATATTCATATTTATTATTAGAAGTTTTATTAATTTTTTAATTAAAAGTTGTTTCTTCACTAAAAGTGTTAGTATGACTACTTTCCTTGAAATTAACCATTTAATTGATTCGTTGTTACAATGTATTTGAAAAACGCATATTTATCCTGGTAGGATTCGAGACCGAGACTTCTGGATTGTGAGTTGTCTGTATTACACGCTATACCACTTTTCCAATAGATAGATTTGTTGTATATTGTCTACATATATTGCGATCAACGTGGAATAACAGGATATTTGATTGTGATAATTAAAAATTTAATTTTGTACCAACAATCGTTTAACCAAATATGTCATATCAATCCAACTATGTTTTTTTTCTCATATGATCATAATAACCAGACATTTGGATTACATATATACGCAGCAACCAAACTCTGAGCAGTGTTTCATCTAAATGTTCTGATTGCACACTAGAATATCTCGTTATAATAAACAGAATTTCTCTTTCCATCAAGACTGGTTTAACCAAACATCATGTTAATTTAATGAAACCCGTTTTTTTCGTGTTTTATTCTGTATAAGCATTTGCAATTCTATACAAACAAATAGAAAAACAGTCCAAAATACGAAATTGCATTATGTCGGTGTTCAGTATCCTTTTAATGATCCGTGCATTTCGCAAGTGTGTCGACGTAGCTTATCGCTACGTTCTTCGGTGGCGGAAAATCTCAACTTTCGTTGGTCTTTTCTCTGTGAAAAGGTTTTGCAATCGTCCGACACCATATTCGTGACACACTACCGGAAGCACTTTCTTTTCAACGAGATCGATGAATTGCCGTCGTGTGCGGTACGACCTCGAATTTTAAAAAATGTCGAAGCCCACCTGGAGTCCATCTCGCCCATTTTCTACGAGAAGAACACAACGCAGTTTCCTAACTGAGCCGGCGACTACGAGGGTGACAGGTCCTGCGCCTCCCTGCTGAGACTGTCCGTGGGCGACGGAGTGGCTCTTCTGGACGGTGACGGCGACGGTGCGGCCGGCGTCGAGGACTTCGGGGCGGTCGCCGTGTGATAGGGTGAGAATCGGTGATGCGCCAGGGCGAGGGGTGACGGGTAGAGTGGTCGAGGCGCCGCCGGTCCCGTCGGATTCTGCTGGGAACTGGAGGCGGCTAACTGCTGCTGATGGTGCGCCGCGGCGAAGAGAGTCGGTCCAATGGACGAAGCCCACCAGAGGTGGCCAAGTTGTTGCTGCTGTTGCTGCTGGTGTTGTTGTTGCTGCTGTTGGTGGCTGGTACTAGCTGTTGAGGCACCCGGGTAAACCAAAGCAGGGCTGACCAGTTGAGCGTAAGGGCTGACGGCGACAGCCGCCGCCGCTCTCAGCAACATTTGAGAACGCGCCGCCCAGAGGGCCTTCTCCTCGAGGCTGAGATTGCTCACCGCGCCAGCCTGGAGCTGTTCCATCTCAAAGGGCAGTCGAGGAGGAAACCTCAGCGTCTGCTGCTCCGCCAACATTGACTCCATCGTCTCCCTGAAAGGGAAGCTGCTCCATTATGTATCTCGTCTGTCGTTCGTACTCTTCAAGGCGACATCGTGGCGGGATCTCTTCCCTTTTCTCCTTCTCTTTTCACGCACGCGTTCGACATATTTGTGCTGTTGTTATCAACATGTGTTTGGATTGCGCTCGTGAGAATTGCTCAAATTGACGCTCTTTTGAATCTTCTTTAAATGCCAGATTTTATAGATAAACAATTTTTTCGGTTATGCAAATAATTTAGTAATTTAACGTTACGATGAAGGTATGTTACAAAAAAGATTGACAATGAAAATAAGCAAATGAATCAAAAGAATCAATAAAAGTCTAAGCAAGATATCGCAAGATTGTGAAATACATATATTACATCCATAAATAAACTGATAAAGAAATAAGGCACTGAATGCCTTGAAAAATCAATCAATTGTTATTCCGATCCTCTTCAGTAAAAGTGAAAAAAAGAAATAGTGCACAAATAAGGGAGATGGTGGTGATATAAAACAAGACTGATTTCTTAAATAATTGCTGTGATCTGTCTGTAACTAGAATAAATATAACCATTACAGTCCTTATTGACCACTAAAGGAATCAATACCACGTTTATAGTATTAAAATAAGTTGATTTGTTTTTTGTTCTAGTAAACAGTTTTATTAAAACTTTTCATAAGCTAAGATACACAAAATTTTATTCCAGTCTTAATTGATAAATTTAACATATTAGCTATAATGTGTCGATTACTAATAAGATTAAACTTCAAAACTGCAGAGATAGTAATTTGCAAATATTTTTTTTACTTTGTGATTCATTAGATTGTTTGGGAAATAATAATAGGGGATAGTAATATATGGAACAAATTCCATATTGCCACGTTTTATATTTCTATGTTTTATGCAGTGAATGTGAAAGTAATATTTTCATTTGCAACTTCTGTTCATAAGTTTAAAGAATATGTATATAATTTGAATTATTGAGCTTAATTTTTTTGATTTTCCTAAAAAATTATTTTATTTATATTTTTACAATGTTTTACATTCAAAGTAATTTAATAAAAAAATGTTTTAACATTAACAGCTTTATAATAACAAAAAATAAGTTTTTCTTTATTTTCATGCCTTTCTAATATTACTATTCATATTTCTCAAGATCCCTTCTTGCACTACATAAACAAATTTATTTTTTTCTTAATAATTATATAAATACATTATAAGAAATATATCTGCTAATATTTCTGATCGTATTTAATACGTATTTGAATTATTACATTTAATATTGCATTTATTGTTGAATATTTCGTCTAAAACAAACAAGTGGTTTATATTCCTATTTTCTCCGCTATTATATAGATACGGATCATTAAAAAGAAGACTACAAATGTGGAATACCGGAAAGACAATGCATACCTCAAGACTGGCACGCGAGTGACTCATTGGTTTCTCTTCTTTCCATTTCCATTGAAGAGAGTCGGAATAATGATTGAAATATTTCATTAATTTTTCGGTGCGGTCAACGCTACATTTTTTTGTTCTTTTATGGATATAATGTGTCTCGCAATCAATATTTTGCGTAGTTTTTATTGGCTTTTATGATCTATGCTTGATAGTACATCTAATAATTTATTCAGAAAGGAGATCGACGTACCCTCGCGCATCGTTCCAACAATGAACGCTGACGGGGTTAAATTCACTGGTGTGTAATCTAAGATGTCATGCAACTCACCTCTCGAAGTCGGTGAGACGGGAGGAATCTCGAAAGCCCTTCGCGAACGGATTACTGTCGATCTTGAGCTTCGTGATCTGTAACAGGCAGGAAAAGCGTCGGTTGGTTAGTTCGGGTGGGAGAAGATCGTACGCGCAATCGGATTCGCAGAGGATCCGGTCACCCTCGGACTTGTATTAACATCGCCGATCTCTTGCAAATTCCCCAATCTTATTACCGGGGCACGCAAGCGCAGGATCGCCGTTGCTCCAAGGGAAAATTACGTCACCGGGCCAGCAACGGCGCGTGGCGGAAAACGGCCGGCTGTTTCGAAACAGTTCGTTCCATCGATCGGGAGTCAACGGCTCGTAAAATTAGAAGAAGGCGGAGAAGCGTCGTACCTACCACCGTCACCAGAGAGCGAAGGGCGAGGGAGGGTGGAGGGAACTAACGGGAGAGACCATGGAATCAGGGGGATTGGAGAAGAGAGATAGGGACGCGTCGCTGATGCACGGGAATCCTCACGAAGCGTTACGCCGAGCGAAATCGCGCCGGGGATGCATCGGCTAGCTCCGAGATTTTTCTGGCAGTTGGAAAATGGGAGGAGACGGGAGAGAAAAAGAGTAAGAGAGGCAGCGTAACAGCTGATTCATCGCCGAGTCCGATATTGTTCCTGACCGAGGTGAGATAAGCGGCCGCAATATCGTCGCGATATACGAACGCCGCGCGATAGTTAACTCCTCGATAAGGTGCGCTCTGTCGCACAGTAGAAATTGAACGGATTTTTTTGCTTTTTCCCTCTTATTTTCCCACTATATGTCGTGGACAAAGTGAAGTGTTCATTTCATGAAAGCGGCGTGAGAGAAATTACGAGACCCGATAAATCGACGGAATTAGGTAAGTCTACTTTAACGAGGTTCTAAAGAAAAACCAAGATTGGATAAGTGAATATTCTTTTCTAACCAAAATGTTAACCCGCCGCGTACAATATTACGTCTATAAGTCTCGAAAGAATATTGGATTATTACTCATTTTTCTCAAGAGAAAACTTAAAAATAACGCAAGCCTGTTTGTTTGATTTTATTGTCCTATCATCTTGTAACTGAGATTTTTCTATATCTCTCGAAAAAGGAATATATCCAAATTAATTAGATATTGATTTTTAATAAAATTATAAGTTTAAAATTTTAAAGTTTAAAGTTTTGCAAGTTTAATAGACCTAGATTGTACTGTATATTCCAAAAAATATGATTGCACGCGGGTGAATATTAATATATTAAGATTTTAAGCTTAAAGTTAATGGCTTATAAAAATAATTCAGTTAAGTTAAAAGTTACATAAACAAAGACTAATTTTATTAAAAGTAAAGTTAGAGTTAAATTAACTTATTAAAATTAACAATTAATTATGCAAAGCAATATACGTTACTTAGAAAATTACCTTTTTAATTGTAAGTTAAATTTATGCGATATAAAAAGATACTCTTTTAATAAAATAGCGATTGCGTGTTTTTTGTATGCTCAGAATTCTATACAAGAAAAGAACATTGGTACTTAGAGATACAAAAAATATTTTGTTTGTATTATTTTTTATTTTTTTTATTTTATATTGTAAGAAGCTCAAAATAATTTTAATTTACTTAGTTTATATAAAAAAGTTAATAAATTAGAGTTAATGTATTTTAGTATAATTAGTTTAAGTTAAAAATTCAATTATTTGAAATTAACTAAGTTAAGTTAAAAGTTATTAACATTTAACTTAATTTTTAACTGCCTAACTAATTATCATGCAACCTTGTAAAACATGCAACAAATTCTCCGACATCATTATTATTACCATTATCTAAATAGTCTAACGAATTATGTGTACACTAATAAAAAAATTTAGTCAATTTGAAAAAAATAATTTGTTTTGAATAAATGATTTTCTAAAATGTTACCAATATTTATTTGAATTAAAAAGAAATATTGTTCAGGATGCAATATTTTTTGCAAACTAATGAATTATTTATTAGATTTGATATATATAAAAGGAATTGTAAAAAATATTTACTTATTTAATTATTTTATATATTATATTTAAATATCGAATGACTAAAATTGAATAACTATTTATCAAATTTGAACTAAAAAATTGTTCATTTTAAAGAATTTTTCTTTATTCTTCTTCCTTGAACAGTTCTTTAAATTCTTTAAAAATTCGTGTAAGAAAAATACTTAGAAACTAAGTTGCTTCCAATGTTACATCACATTTAAAAATTCTCACTGGCACTGGTGAGACTCTAACTTGGACCCGTGAGGCACCTCTGGATTATGAGTTTGTTGCTTCAGGCACTACACCACTTCTTCGATCAATATAAACGTCTTACATTTTGTCTATATGTGTTGTAATGTGTTGTAAAGTAAATTAATCATTAGTTTGAAAAAATATTTGTTTAAAGCTATTTCCTGAATTTAAATATATTAGATTTTTCAGTTGTTAAGAATAAGTTATTCAATTTGAACGGTATCTTAATAACATTTATTCGTTATTTAAAATTATTTCACGTTGAATACAATTTTTCTTCAATTTTATTATATATATTTTTAAAGTGAATCATTGCTTATTACAATGTAATAAATAACCTCTTATTGCAACTAAAACATATTTGAATAAATATATTTATTTAGGTTGAATACATTTTTTTATCAGTGTATTGTGCTTTGCGAAATTTTACAGTAAAGTAATAAATAACTTTGCATTTTCGTTATAACATACTTGACTATTATTATACGATTATCGTCAGCTTAGCGTTTCCTCGGTATTAAAGTACCTGATAAATGGTTTTCTTTCTTTCTTCCTTCCTTCCCTCTTCCGCCCACTAGTCCACTGTCTCCTATCCCTTTGGAGAGTAAACTCATCGAAACATTCTCCGCCACGCTGGGGCACTCTTACTGTGAGAGCAAAGGACGTTTTGTTCGCGGCCGCGCCACTTGAGGAATCGTCGACCGGCGCGGTTGGTTGACGAGAGGAAATCCGAGAAAGTTTGTCTATGTGTTCGACTACACATCGTCATGTTTGTAGTAGTCTGTAAAGTGGCTGGACTGTTCTCTACTTCTCCCTCTCCTCTTCCTCGTATTCTCCCACTTTCTCTTTCTTTGCACATACACAACAAACAAACAAACAAACACATACACCCATATCTCTGTATCTCGTTCTCGCGTACGCCACCCCTACGAAAATCCACCCTAAGTCGACCCTGCACCCTAAATTGGGCGTTTTGCCTTACCTACGAGGCCACCCACGACGTAGCGGATGCACAGGTGGCCTCGCTCTCAAAGTCCCCTGTTGTCAACCTAACGCGCGACGCCCTTGCCCTTGCTCTGACTTGCCTTGCCTTTCCGCTAACGCCCTCGCCTCCGCCACCGCTTGCGTCTACAAAAGCTTCGAGGCGAGAAATTTCGTCGGCCAGATCCCGAGGGATATACCTGGTCGAAGCCCGTAGTTTCCAAACACGAGGAGACGTGTTGGACCAATGAAATTTTCCGCGCGTTTAACCACGAAACGAGTCAGCATTCGCAAGTCACAAGATGCTCACGACCATGAAAAGCAAGCTAACGAGGGTTCTGACACGCTTATGGCTTCTAACGAATGATGGACAAAATCTAGTCAAACTTTTACGATCTTCCGTCTATTGTTGTTTGTTTTATGACGATATGGTTAATTCATTTTCAGCTTGTTTATCTGTGATTATCATTGTTGAAAGACATCACCCGAACATCGACACTAAATAAATTTTAGAAAAGAAGGAAGAAGAAAAGTGATTTGTGAAGTATGGTGTACATTTAAGAGACACTCACTTGAAATTGAAGCCTGATCTACAATATGCTTTTTATTATCTGCATTTTTTATCTTTATCTTCTTTTGACTTAAGCTTTTAGCCAGAAAAGAATAGAAAACAAAAAGCAGGAAGCAAAGAGTACATTGTAGACCAGATTTAAGAAGCTGAACAAGCTCACAGAAACGACTTTTCTCGGGTTGGAAATTCGGTGATTAGACGGCGCGTTAATTAGCGCCGTCCCAAAAGCACGGGTGTTCGTACGAACGAACGTACGCATCGACAGTACTAACGTAAAAATGTCAAACAAGCGCAGTGATATCCCTCGACATGGACCCATCCAATTTCCGCCCGGCGAGCCAACAGGGATAAATCAACCTTGTCTTCCGGGTCGAGTGTCACGGACGAGATGTGTCGCGGTTCGTTCGAACGAGAACACGTTCCCGCTGCTACGGCTCCGGGATACCGACGTCTTTCGGGGAGAGACCAGTGCTACACCCGAGACGAGGCACAACACGCGGGTATTTATTTGGAAAAGGGAGCCGCTTGTCGCAACGCCGGCCTCCCCGTAGGTGGTCCAATTAATCTTTACTGTTCCAAAATTCGGCAACGAATGGCAAATAACGTTGCAATTTAATGACACCCGATTAAGATACTTACAATTAGTATTCATAATTTTTAATTAAAACATCAAAAAATCAAATTCCTCTTAAACGATACTGTAAATTCGACTATGTTGATGCGTATGTTGATGCTAAAAAATGTTCCAGACTTCTAAAAGATGTCTTAAAAATGCACAATTAAGATAGGATAAATAAAAGAGGGAGAGAGAGAGAGAGAGAGAGAGAGAGAGAGAGAGAGAGAGAGAGAGAGAGAGAGAGAGAGAGAGAGAGAG